CACATGAGCTAAATAGTAAAATGCAATAGTCTTAGTCGAGTGACGTGACTTGCAATCTCATGCAACCTGATTTCAAGGGGCTGTATCTTGCAAAGGGTTCCATAGGAGCAAAAAAGTCAAAGGAACAATACCACCTTTGAGGTATGGTTCCTTTGACTTTTTTGCTCCTATGGGTATGCTCTACAGCTCTGTTGAGATCCCAATCATCTCATTCAGAGAATTGTACCTGTATGTTGGAAGCCCGTCAATGTAACATACGTACAAAGTTTTAAAAAAAAATATAAAAGTTGAGTATTGTGCTATAATCAAATATTTCAAATAGAAGGATATGACTAACTGAAATTAAAGCAACATGAATAAGATGAATCTATTCCACCATTTTCATGGTAAAAATGGAAGCAATTCAATTTAAACATGGAAGAGAGTTTGGAAAACAATTCTTGCAGTGGACAACCATCAGCAGATATGAATGGAGAAAGCATTGACAAAATCCACTTACAATATTACTGTATTAAAGTAAACAACTGCACAGACTATGGAAAGCTCAACTGAAAAGATTATCATATCCTAGCTCAACAATTGAGTAAGTTATGTCAGTCTCCACAAGGTAATGGCCATATTTCTTGGAATCAAATACACTCAATGTCAAATTTCAAAAAGGTATTTATGAAGAATCAATCTGATTTTCTGGTGAGATTTGTAACTACTAATGATATACAGATCCATCACTATAAACCAGAAACAAAAGAACAATCAAAACAATAAAAACATGTTGACTCTTCATATCTAGCAAAAACAAAAGCAGTTTCATCAGACTGATATCTTGGAATTTCAAAAGTCTAATGACTTGAGTCATAGCATCATCTTTTGAGATTCCAATATGATCAATCAATTATCTATCAAAGGGCCAAACTAAAAATACAGAATAATATGCTAACCATCTACAAAACTGAAAAGAAAAAATTTGTAAGAAAAAAATCATGATTGGCCAATAAAAAATGCTTTATCAATACACAATGTACAGTATCAATTCACATAAATACAGTTACAATGACCAAACTTCACAATCTTCATTTTGAATTCTTGCCATATTCACCCAAGATATTCCATGAAAAGACCTCAACACTGGTCTGAACTAAACTAAATATCTTGAAAGAAAAGTCAGTAAAGAAATCGTTTCTTCCTGATCAAATATCTAAATTATATTACTGGTAAGCAGGAGAATAATATCATATACAGGTAACCCCCATATAACACGGGAGTTACGTTCCAAAAAATTGCCATGTTATGTGAATCCGTGTTATACGAAACAAAGAACTAGTGTGAAAAGGGGGGGTTAGGTTCCAAAAATTAAAAAACATGCTGTTAAATCCTTATTTAAATCGGATTTATTATTCATTTTTTTATAGGTAAAATACTTATTTATTATTTAAGTAAATATTTTACCAGAGGAATATTCATCCTATATGATGATCTCAGCATGAGCATTATCAACTGGTAACAGTTTTTGGGTGCGTTCATTAATAGCAGTTGCTCTGCAACAGGAGTGCACTGCTGTTTGTAGGCATTTAGGAACGACGGTGAAAGAAAGACGGTGGCATCCGCACTATCGATAGTATTGTGATGGAGGAATCTATAATTTTAAAATGAGCTTTTAGAGGCAAAAGAAGAGTACCAATTGTAAAATTTAACCATTAAATGGATTATTTGTTCAAAGAGCATTCAAAGTAGCCACGAAAACAATAAGAATGTTTGCACGGAGTTATGCAGAAGTATAAAAGAATGCACCCTTTATTACATTTCATGTTGTACGAGGGTTTTACCTAATTCCTGAACTATGCTAGAGTGAACCCGTGCTATAGAAGTGCCGTGTTATATGGGAGTTACCTGTACTAGAAAGAATATTAACATGTATTATAAATGATTTTAATGTTAAAAAACAGATGTAATACAAAACCTGACAGTGTCTTAATAATTAATGATTTAATGATATTGAAGTATAAGTAAAAAATTTAATTCTAAAATCATTTTTTGCTTAAAAATAAATTCAGAGAATTTTATTTAAAAAAACAGATAACAAAAACCAGACATCTTACAAGTATTTATAAATGCAATAAACAAACTATAATAAATAAATCAAAAGTATATATCAAAAAAGTTATAAAACTAAAATTAAAGTTTTCTATTGTTTTTTTCTAAATACACAGCTTTATTATCTGTTTTCTTTTTGATTAAATAATACACTTATTATTTGATTCTGTGGTGTAATTTGATAGTTTATGTAAACAAACATTAATCTTCAATGTGATATCAAATAACCTTGTACAAACAGATAATGAACAGTTGTAATCATTTTCACTTATTTTAATTCAAAAAATAATTTCCTCATTAAAATTCAAAAATGCATATATATATATATATATAAATTTTGTAGCTAGCATTAATTTTGTCATCAGCTTTTTTTTTTATCAAATTATAATTATTGAACTTAAAATCATTAAACTAAAATTCCTTAAATACAGTGGTGCCTCGTATAAAATTCCTTCCTTAAATACAGTGGTGCCTCGTGTACTTAATCCGTTCCAGGTGAACGTCCGTTAAGTGAAAAGTCCGTTATACGAAACGCATTTTCCCATAGAAATACATATTAAAACATATAATTCGTTCCGCAGCACAAAATAACCATACTGTACCATAAAAAAATGAAAATGGAGCAGTCACCAATTATGCCAGGTAGTCAGATGTTGTGAGGAGGAGGTGTAGGATCACTTTATTCACACATTCATACAGATACAGACTTTTTACACATTGTAGCAGGTCTCTTTTTATTGTTTTTTTAATCGGAGTCAGATTCAGGAGAGGCTACCGGAGCTTGCAGGGTCAACTCCTCTTGTTCCATCCTTTGTTTTTTGGCAGCTGGCTTCTTGAAAAACATGTCCAAGGTGGTCTGTTTCTCTCTCTTCTTCAACACCTGTCGGAAATGACGGGCAAGGGTGTCATTGTAGAGATCATTGATCCTGTTGGCCTCAGCTCTGTTTGGATAATGAGTGTTGGTAAACTCCTGAACCTCTCCCCATTTGACAAGGAAGTTTTTGTCAACTTTCACTCCTTCTGATGATTTCTTGCTTTGTTTCAATTGAAATCACCTTTCTGTTTTTTTAGAAGCCATGATTTGCACAACACTTGAATAAATGTAAATACCCTGCACTGAGGTGATGTACGTAATAAACAAGGGAGCAAGCCGAATCCCAACAGGAGCTCTGTACTTCAGATATACTAATAATATATTCTAATAATATTAATATATTATAAAAATAGCAGATTGTCATTGGCAATGGCAAAAGAGTGGAAACATCATTCGCACTTGTTCGCAGAAAGTCCATTATTTGCCTAACGTAACTGCCGAATAGAAAGTCTGTTGTTCGCAGCCAGTCTGTTGCTCAAGTCACGTAACGGCCAAATAGAAAGTCCGTTGTTCACAGCCAGTCCATTGCTCAAGTCACGTAACGGCCAAATAGAAAGTCCGTTGTTCGCAACGTCCGTCATTCGAGGCATACGTTATATGAGGCACCACTGTATTTGAGGAAAATATTCAGGGAAACTTTCAATAGAAAATGTGTGAAAAAATAAAAGCAATGCCAAATTATCTTATTATTATTTTAACATTTAAATTACAATTAGAATAAGTGCATTAAAATCTAAAAGTAAAATATAATCATAATTGTAAAAAAATTTATTATTATTATTACTGTATCCCTCATGTTATAATTTAATTAAATAATTACATAATTTTTCTCTCCATTTTTAGCTGCACCACATGTGCACTATTTAATCATACCCATCATAAGTTTGGCCAGACCCACAACTGGATGTGTCACTCATTAATGGAATGGTCAAACAATGAAAAACAAAGTCTGACAAATCCAAGACAGACCATGCCTAAAACTACCTGGGTTCACTCACCTAGATATTAATCTTGGCCATCCTGCCATCAATAACATAAATCAAATTATTACTTCTACCGGCTAGATTGGTGGGATCCCAAACTACAATCCTTGGACCAAATCCAGTTTGCAACACATCAATCAAGCCCACAAACACATTTTGTACATCACTTATAAATGATAGAAAATAGGCTTATTTTGTACATATGAAATATACAAAATACTTGCAACCTGCCCACCTACAACTTACGTACAACTTGGCCCACCAACGAAAAGTTAAGACCTGATTTGTAGCTGTTATCCTACCGACACGACAGCTACAATTCAAATATAACTCAGTTTTTCGTATAAATTATGATCAATGTAGGTCAGGATATCATCCTCTATTTATCATACATGTAGACTGACCACAATACAAACTGTTAACCAAAAACAGTTACATAAATCCTAACATTCTGGTACATCACGGTAACCATTTACTTCAATATGGTTGATTTAATAACATAAAAACCTGTAACAGCATAACATAATTTACAATATTAACTTGTTAACTTTACATATTTCTATATTATAATTTAAAAATATATATTAAAAACAAACATTGTTAAATACATTGAATTTTATTGAAATATTTACCTTAAATAACAGTTTATATATAAATAATTATAAAAAAATAAGTGATTTAGATAATAAACTTATTCATTTTAACCAATTAAAAATATTCTATGAAAGGATTTAAAGGGAAATCACAACCAACATTACTCATAATTTCAAAATAAACAAGATGAATAATAAGAAATTTTGATGAAATCATGCATTAAGGGCTTCATTTATCATATTTTAAGGTTTAAATACATAAAAATTAGCATATAATTCAAAAATAGTAATCAATTCAAGTATATATTGAAACTTACGAGTAGAAGTTACTTTTAGTCAACTATGTGTATACTTATATATACATGAACTACCTAAAAGTAACTTTCACCAGTTCAATATAGAAATGTAATAGACATATTATTGTTCACAATAAGAAAAATAAAAATAGTTGTTGCTTACCTTCTTTTTCATACTTTCTCGGTTTTGTTTGGGTTACAAACACATCTTAAAGTATAGATTTTACATCATATTGCAAATTTTTCTTACAATAAAAACTAAAGAAAATTTCAATACTTGTTTACAATCACCATGACAGCCTAATTGACACAAACACGCATGCACCAATAAGGTCAATGATCGAAATTTTAATAAATTAATTTAACTTTCGTACATTTAAATTATTTTAATTTATTATTATCTCTTATTTATTAAAAGATA